TCTCTCTCTCGTCTATCATGTACTGTCTGTCTGCCTGTCTAACTATCATCTATATCTATCTATCTATCTATCTATCTATCTATCTATCTATCCATTCATCCATCCTTCCATCTATCTTGTCTATCATCTATCATATCTCTCTCTCGTCTATCATGTACTGTCTGTCTGCCTGTCTAACTATCATCTATATCTATCTATCTATCTATCTATCATCTATATGTCTATCTATCCATTCATCCATCCATCCATCCATCTTGTCTGTCATCTATCATATCTCTCTCTCTCGTCTATCATGTACTGTCTGTCTGCCTGTCTAACTATCATCTATATCTATCTATCTATCTATCTATCTATCTATCTATCTATCTATCTATCTATCTATCTATCATCTATATGTCTATCTATCCATTCATCCATCCATCCATCCATCTTGTCTGTCATCTATCATATCTCTCTCTCTCGTCTATCATGTACTGTCTGTCTGTCTGTCTATCTATCATCTATATCTGTCTATCTATCTATCCATTCATCCATCCATCTATCTTGTCTATCATCTATCCTCTCTCTCTCTCTCTCTCTCTCTCATCTATCATGTACTGTCTGTCTGTCTATCTATCATATCTATCTCTATCTATCTATCTATCTATCAATCATCTCTTTCTATTTATCTCTATCTCTCTTTATCTATCCATCCCCCCACCCACCTAATCTATATTATCTGTCTACCTATCTACCCTCCTATCTACCTAGTCTATATTTATTAACTGTCTGTCTGTCATCCATTTTGCAGATGGGTGGGATAGAGATACCAAAGTCAAGTCAGTCCTACCTTTCTATTTTAAAAAGTGTCAGGTACCAGAGATTTCTTTTTTAAAAAAAGACCCTTCCTTGTCTGTGAAACCCATGGAGTTGTAAACCACCTTGCAAATACAGCCCTCGATTCAACAGACTTCTCTGTTGATGCAGAATTGTCACAACAGGGAGGAAGGACGCCGTCGCTCAGCGGGTCGATCGTCCTCGCTTGCCGAGAATTCCAGTTTTGTGGGAATGTTTCTGACTTCACGGTGGAGAAAAAGATTATTCGGAGGGAGGGAAGAGAGACCGTTAGGAGGGAGGGCTCTAACGCTGAGATGGGTAGAGCGATGGTCTCGGGGAGTTTTGAGGCCACTTCAGGTGCTCACTCGATCCCCATCTTTTAGAGCGAGATGCAGAAGGCAGCTTTTGAAGCCCTCCAGGTGAAGCGAGACCGCATGCACTGCCAGATCAGAAATCAGGTGAGTGCAAAATTGAAGCCTCTGGGGAGAGATGCAGGGGGGGCAGGGGGGAGGCAGCAGCATCCATCATCATCCCTTCCCAAACAAGCAGGCTTTCCATTCTCCTTCAATCCCGCCTTGGGTACCAACCCTGGTGAGACGTTCGTGGCTGGGACGCATCGTGTTCTTCTGGCCCAGTTTAGCACGCCTCCCCTCTGGGGACGGCGCCCACCCTCACGGCAATCCATCCAAAACGTCATCTCCATTGGTTCTGTTTTCATGTCTTCGCCGTCGTTTTGTTTCCGTTGCTTCGTCCCCAAGTCCATTTCGGTCAACTACGACGCGCACCGCTTTTATCAACGCAGAGATCCCCGCCGGAAGGGGAAACGGTTGCCCAGAGGCTGTCGGAGGGTAGAGTTTGCAATTTCTCCAACCCCGTTTCCCGCCACCACTACCCCCGACTCCACCTTTTTTTTTAACCCTTTGTCTCTAGTGGGTTATCCAGGCCTTGAGTTTACTAACAGGTGATGGTCAAGGGCATTGATGGGCTTTTCCTCTTCTCTGGTGGCTTCACTGCTGCAAGCTCTCACTCATGCAGAACCATCTTAGTATAGTATAGTGTTCTGACCCCCCTCGTTCCACACCAAAGCACACTCCGAGCCAGAGATGAATTACGGCATTTAATTAACAGACAGTCAGGTCCT